TCTCTCTCTCCCTCCCTCTCTTCTATCTCCTCTCTCCCTCCCTCTCTTCTATCTCCTCTCTCCCTCCCTCTCTTCTATCTCCTCTCTCTCTCCCTCTCTTCTATCTCCTCTCTCTCTCCCTCTCTTCTATCTCCTCTCTCCCTCCCTCTCTTCTATCTCCTCTCTCCCCCCTCTCTTCTGTCTCTTCTCTCTCTCCCTCCCTCTCTTCTATCTCCTCTCTCCCCCCTCTCTTCTATCTCCTCTCTCTCTCCCTCCCTCTCTTCTATCTCCTCTCTCCCTCCCTCTCTTCTATCTCCTCTCTCCCTCCCTCTCTTCTATCTCCTCTCTCCCTCCCTCTCTTCTATCTCCTCTCTCCCTCCCTCTCTTCTATCTCCTCTCTCCCTCCCTCTCTTCTATCTCCTCTCTCCCTCCCTCTCTTCTATCTCCTCTCTCTCTCCCTCCCTCTCCCTCCCCCTCTCTCTACCTCTCTCCTCCCTCCCTCCTCCCCCCGCAATCCACCCCTTTCCTCCTCCCCCTCTCTCCTTCCCTCCCCCTCCTCCTCCTCTCACGCCCTCACTCCTCCCCCCCTACCTCTCTCCTCCTCCCCCTCCTCCCCCTCCTCCCCCCCCTCCTCCTCCTCCTCCTCCTCCCCCCCTCCTCCCCCTCCTCCTCCTCCTCTCACGCCCTCCTCCTCCCCAACAGGTCCACGACATCTGGGACTGCCGTGACCCTCGCCGACTACAGGACCCGAACGGCTGGCTGCAGTGCGTCCTGGCCTACACCTCCGACGTCAAGATACTACTGGTCATGTCTCCGCGCGTCGTGTCCGTTATGAATGCCATCGTTAATCATCAGAAAGGTCTGAGTGTGTGTGTGAGGGAGGGAGGGAAGGGGGGAGAGGGAGGGAGGGAAGGAAGGGGGGAGGGAGGGAAAGGAGGGAGAGAGGGACGGGAGGGAGAGGGAGGGAAGGGGGAGAGGGAGAGGGAGGGAAGGGGGGAGAGGGAGAGAGGGAAGGAAGGGGGGAGAGAGGGAAGGGGGGAGAGGGAGGGAGGGAAGGAAGGGGGAAAAGGGAGGGAGAGAGAGGGAAGGAAGGAAGGGGGGAGAGGGAGGGAAGGGGGGAGAGAGAGGGGAGGGAGGGAGAGGGAGGGAAGGAAGGAAGGGGGGAGAGAGAGAGAGAGAGGTAAAGATAATTTTTAAGAATCTCTAAACACAATTACTGCAATTGTTCGAGACGATTTCACAAACAGCAACACGGACAGGATGATGTATAACGTCTCGCACTGTCCACAGTTTGTAAAGTGACGCGGTAAAGTTGTACTAAATTGTTCCATCCGTGTTCGATCGTGTACATTTTTGGCTTTAGAATTCCTCTAGTCATAGACTGCATAGAGCATCGGAAATTCATACGACTATTTTCCTATTTTCAGATTTGGTCGACCTCGAAGAAGGAAGCAAGGAAAGGGGTTTCCTGCAGATGGTTTCCAGCATCAGGAAGCTACTGGATAAGGATCTCTTTGATAATTATGACCGTGTCTACGTTGTCAGGTAGAGAACGAGAGAGAGAGAGGGAGAGAGAGAGAGAGAGAGAGAGAGAGAGAGAGAGAGAGAGAGAGAGAGAGAGAGAGAGAGAGAGAGAGAGAGAGAGAGAGAATGGTATGAGAAAATGTTCAAGATTAGCTTGAGAGAGAGAGAGAGAGAGAGAGAGAGAGAGAGAGAGAGAGAGAGAGAGAGAGAGAGAGAGAGAGAGAGAGAGAGAGAGAGAGAGAGAGAGAGAGAGAGAGAGAGAGAGAGAGAGAGAGAGAGAGAGAGAGAGAGAGAGTGGGAGAGAGAAAGAGAAAGAGAGAGAACACAAGAAAAAAAGAAAGAGATGCGTAAGATCATTGAAATAAAAAGCAAATTTACATTTAGACACTAACACAACAAAGGCAATATCTATATTTCTCTTTTTTTCATGTCTTTCCAGATTCAGCGATTTATGGGACAAAGACGAAGATATTCTCAGCGTCATAACTGGGAGTCGGCGATTCTGTCTACCGGAACACACCGAAAATTTATACGAAGAAATTGGTTATGAGAGTAATTAAGCTATTAGATCACTAATTAAGCTGGTGAATAGGGCAATTACGATATTAGATTGGCTATTAAACCGGTGATCAGAACAATTTGAAAATTAAACTGATCACTAAACTAGTGCTTAGAATTGACACTAAACTGGTGCTTAGAACGTTTAGGAGATTTGATTAATAAAACTATTCCTAGGTATATCATAACAGATTAAATGAAAATGATTTAGTCCCTTTTGATTATGCAATAAGCGAATCCGATATACATACATACATTTTTTTTTTCTTCTTTATTCTTTTTTTTTGTGTGTGTATGAAATTTATAATCAGTTGTGTCCCAATTGCTATTTATTTCATGTCCTCGGCTTTCATGCTTCGTACTGAACGAGATTTTTGTTTCGTGAATACCAATGTACATATGTATTACACTGTGATACTAATAAATAAATATACATATATGGAAATGTCGGTTTGGTTTTATCCCATTTTCATTTATTCGACAGTTTATTTTGGTGTTGTTCATTCGACACCAGTAGTATCAGTTTTTGTTAGAAATGTTCAAGTATTAGTTTTTAGTTATATGCAAGTTATCAATTCACAAAATAACGTGAAGAATGTGTATTCATCATTTCAATTTTGATTCATTATTATAGTTTTTAAGTTAAACGTACAGTACGCATGATGTATAAAGTGTTTTTTACGTTTTCATCACCAATTATCCTTAGTTTGCCTAAGGCTTCGTTTATATTAAGCGGATCGGTTAACAGCATCGAATCAGTTCAAGGCATGGCAACTTTAAAGTCAGTGATTTTTTTATATATATATCAATCATGGCGATTTCGTTAAAGAGAGTATCAAATTTATGAACGTCCAGATCAATCCAATAAATGGTTTATATATGATCCTTAGAAATGGCAGTAACGCCTTATCATCACTGTTTATATTTTCCTGTACTGAACACATGGAGTTTTCTTACATTTACTATTCCAAGTTGACTGTTATATATCATAGCTTCATGTATTTTCCTCGTCATATTTAATTTAGGTTTATGCATTTATTCGCCACTGTACGTGCTGTTATTAACGAATTTCAAGTTATTTTAAATCGTTAATAGGATCTTAAAAGACATTCAAAGTGCGACCTTTGTTATTTTTTGTGATTATACTGTTATTATTATTATTATTATTATTATTATTATTATTATTATTATTATTAGAAACATTATTACTTTTCTTATTATCGTCATCAATCATCATCACCATCATCACTCACCATCATCAGCACTATCATCATCATACATTGACTTACCATACTGCATACGGCGAAACCACCTTTCTTAAGGCCCTTTTTTTCCCCACGGCACCATCTTGGATAATCCGAAGTGGAAAATTCTGGGAAAAGAACACCATTTATCAAGCTGTTTCTGGGGAACCAACTGACCTTAATTCAGCTTTGTTCGTCGGTGGTTCACAAATTTCGAAGCTTGTGGCATTTCGGAGTTTCGACTCTCGGTCTGCACGTGTTATCTTTTTTGTGTTTATTTTCGCCTTTAAAATGTCTCTAGTCAGCATAATAGGGCTGGTAGAGCATATATGTGTTTCTGTGATTGTCATTTTAGGACGTGTATGCTCCCTGAAAAAAAGGATGTTCTAAACTAATTTCACCTAAATTTTACACACTCAATCTCGATTATACGAACGCACACATATAAAAAATGTTTATAAATTTCACCATGTTTAGCGAATGATAAGTAACATTTCAGTCAAGGCAAACCATGCTATCATCTTATTAGCATGATATCAGTGGCATTTACCGATGCCTTATTTAACCGCTGGCGACTGTGACTTCACGACAAAGGTCTTTTAGAAAACTAGCGCCCCCGGGTGGGCTCGAACCACCAACCTTTCGGTTAACAGCCGAACGCGCTAACCGATTGTGCCACGGAGGCTTAGCATTAATGATTAATTTCGTTTAAAAAATTATAAACTTTTTTTATGCGCGTACACACACACACACACACACACACACACACACACACACACACACACACACACACACACACACACACACACACACACACACACACACACACATACACACACAGAAACAGACGCACATGTACACGTACCCGTACACACCAACACACTCTTACACGCAAACACACACACACAAACGCACACCTTGTTTATATATGCATAAAACAAAGTTTCTCTCCTTGGAGAAGGAAAATTAAGCGACAGACATTAATAGCCCGAAGCCAGGGAAATAAGATAGGAAAGTGTAACAATGTAAGTCATTTTTAGTAATTTAGCACAAGTTTTACCGCGAACACATTTCCTTATAAAAGCTCATTCAACCGTACAAGGAATATTCCATAGAGGTAGGGGATATAACTCCCAATATATCGTCATTTCCAAACCCAACTCTTCTTTGCTTTCCTGCACAAAATGGCATCGCTCTCATTCTTTAAGAATCTGTAATTTACGTGGTTTCCAAAATCAGAATACAAACGGGTAAATAGTCTTAGTGCCTATTCTCTGGGTCATGCAATGCTCGCTAATTCACCTCAATAAACGTCAAGTCTACTGTTTAGTCCGTAAGAGAAATTAAACCATTTCAAGCAAGGAGCGTAGTGTAGTTCCTCAAAGGATCGGATAACTACGCAATAAACGTTGAGAATAATTTCTTCAGCCACCAAACCAAGGCTGAAAAAGAGGTTCTTTTCATGTATAACAATCCCAAAACTCACTAGGACTGCCAGTGTAAAGCTGAACGTGAATAAATCCTCACTTGGCTAGTTTCATCATTCCCACCCAAGGCCCACTGTGACATACTGTAAAACCAATGGACGTTACTTTCTTCGCGTCTTCCAGGTCTGTGGATGTAAGCCTATTTGTTTCCGAGAGGATGCTTAGGGAAGAATTAATACCAGTGTGTACATGTGAACTTTGGAGTAAATGCCAATGTGACAATATATATTTTCGAGGCGATGGGAAAAGCGGAAGAAGTAATTCTGTTGCAAGTCAGTCATTGTATCACATTTTCTTCTACAAGACTTCAACTTGTATTTCGGAAAATGGGTTACAGATCATCAAGGCTTATAGTTAGATTATACAAGGATAACTGGGAGTAATTAAAGGGAAAGGTATATTTACTGAAGCCATTAAGATTATCCTCAATATTCCAAATAGGAGCAGATGACAATGTATATTCATGTCCCTTTGTTGCAAAATACCATAACCTCACTAAATTGTCAGATACGGAAAAGTTAGTTTTATGTTTGGTTACTGACTTTGTTGTTCAAATTAACCAGACCATAGGATTTCCAGTTGCTTCGCTTATAATTTTCCTCTATCAACCCGCGTGGTCATCGGGTGTTCATTCGAAGTTCCGAGTGACGCCAATTTAAGTTAGGTTAGGCTGTTTTCTTATTTACTGATAGGTAAAAAGAAATAAAGCAGTAAACCTCGCCGAATTGAATAGTTTTGAATTATAGTCTAGGTATTATGATACATGAGCGAAATTGAGAAATCTCGCCTCCCGATAGAAAAGTATATTCAAAGAAGTTTCTTCTTTTAAGGCCGGTTTACGCTAGCTTCTTTGGTCACCAACTTACCCCTTTCCCTGACCGAATTTCAATCTCATAAAGACGCAAGCTCTAAGCCGTTTACACAACCAAGAAAAAGAAATGTATGGGTACGAAAGTGGATAGGAAGGGAGTAGGCTCGGGGGGCCTCAGATAAACTCCTGAAGAGACTGGCACTGAGTATTGAGGCTGACGTGCGAAAAAAAATTAAACCTGTGGATGAAGGTGCATCCTTTTATTCAAAGGGAAACCGGGCAATGCACCCAGTACCTAGCCACATACCACATACATTGTCATCATTGTCTGGACTAGTCTATTCAACTACCGAAACGCTAGACGCGAGAGGTTGACATGTTTAACATTATCACAGTGTCAAACAGATATTAGACGCTTTCTCCTGCGAATTCGCTAGCGAATTAGGAAGCTTGTCCAAAGCGAATAAAAGCAGCACCGTGTGAACGATGCTTGTTATGAATTGTGGCAGTCTTAAAATAAAAAAGAATATACATATTTATATACACATATATATGTGTGTGTGTTTACACATACATACACATATACATATATATATATATATATATATATATATATATATATATATATATATATATATATATATATATATATATAACATTATATATATAAACATATACACGCATATACATATACATGTACAAAAGGTACAATAGACTGAACTTACTGGTGCGTGAGAATAGTGTACAAAACTGAACTGGGTCGTGATGAAATAAAATGAAGAACCCTACCTCAGATTCTGCATATGTGTGTATATATATATATATATATATATATATATATATATATATATATACATATATATATATATATATATATATATATATATATATATATATATATATATATGCGTGTGTGTGTGTGTGTGTGTGTGTGTGTGTAAGTGCGTGTGCGCATGTGTGTATGTGTGTGTGTGTGTGTGTAAGTGCGTGTGTGTATGTGTGTATGTGCGTGTGTGTGATAATAATAATAATAATGATATAGATACATGAATCTTGATATTCCTGTGGGTTTCTGCATTTGTCAGTGGTTCAATCAATTAACTCGACGAAGATGCCTGAACCCGAATTGGTAAAAGTACTGTGTATAAGACACAGCAGTAGTTAAGAGATACTGTGTTTAAGATTTCATGTAAGGTTGGTACTTCTAACAATGAAATGGTGACGTAAATTGTAACAAGTCCAGACAACTGGTTTTAATTTGCATTTATATTGGACCTTTGGGATTTAGGTCAGTGCTAATGTTGATCAGCAGAACGTTATATTCTTCGGCGCACTGAAGCAGATCATATGTAGAGGTGAGCGCTTTGATCAATTTGATAACTGACCACCATCATATGTTGCACACACTTAATACTAATAGTGGATGGACAAATGGTCAGATATCACACACACCAACACACACACACACACACACACACACATACACACACATACACACACACACACATACATAAACATACATTTTTTTTTCTTCTTTTTTTTATGTCATTTTCTAAGAGGCAAGTTAGCTTTGCATTTTTTTTTTACAGAGCTTTCTACGGAGCAATCTTTAAGGATTTCTCTCCAAAACAACATTGAAGAGTTTGTTTTTAATATTCTCATATATTGACCCGAAAAAAAACACCTGTTTCCGCCCGGGATCGAACCGGGGACCTTGCGCGTGTGAAGCGCACGTGATAACCACTACACTACGGAAACGCTTGATAACATTAGGTAATGAATTTTCGAAGTTAAACCTGTTAAATAGATAGGTACAGAAATACATTTACGGAAGCTACTGCAACTTGTTGTGTGGCAGGGAAATGATGACCTATACATAAATGACTTATATATACAA